TTTCAAAGGTATGTATAAAGTATGAAATTTATCCAATAATCACAAAACTCATTATTGTAAGGGGACCCCTAATTACAGACTCCTCTAAGACTTTATTCCCAGTGATAGCTTGTTATAGGCCAGACAGTCTACCACCATCCCCATATCTCCCTGCTCCATTCCAGTCACCAGTTATTTGTCCTAACAGCTCAGCAATGAACCAGTGGACTCAGAAGCTAAGGTGGTGTGGCCCAGTGCCTGGGGGAACTCCCTGAAACCCCCTTACCCCCTGGTGTTAAGATCTAAGCCAGGAAGAGGGGGAATGCTCTAAGTCAGAGGGCTGATGATGAGAAATGAGTTAATTGGGGGGCTGATGATAGAGATCGTGCTAGTTGGGAGGTCCAACTCTATAACTGTAGTGGAGCTTGACTTCAACTTATGTGCTGTGCCCTCACATGAACTGTCAGAGTGCTCCAGTATTTCAAACAGAGCAGAGAGTATGGTATGAGTAAGAGTCAACACTTAACTTAATTGATTGGAGGGCTGAATCACTAAGAGTTGAGAGGTAGAGGGTCACAGCTTGCTGAAGATCACTCTTTAAGAATATAGTGATGAGGAGGGGAAGGTGAAAAAACTAAGAGAGGCTAATCTAAGTCAATATTCAAACTGAAGAACTATAGTGTACATGGAAAGAGGTTTATACTACATTGAGATGGGTGATCGGAAGGCCTATCAGAGAAGCAAAGTATAGGATGGACCAAAGAGAAATAATGATGAGGTGGGGAACAATGGAAACTAATGTATAGTACTGTTATGACTGGAAAACCTGCCAGACTCTGGGAACTACCCTATACACACCTGCACCCTTTATGCACCAGTTATCAGTTTACCGGAATACCCACTGGAACCTGGATGTCAGACCTGTCCATGCCTGACCTTCGTTATGGAGGATGGTCACACTTTATTGAATATACAAAATTTTACTGAATAATCCTCATATTTTCCAAGTGAGACTATTCCTTCTGGCCATGACAGCTTATTCTATGAGTTTATATTTAATTACCTGAAATTTCATCTTTAAAATATGTATGCCCTTTTAAAATATGCACAAATAACATAGTTACACAAGATTATTTGGGTTAACCTAGGTTATTTGGGTTAACCTAGATTATTTGGGTTATGACTTAATCTTTGGGTTATGATGTATTCTCTTGTATACAAGCAAACTTTCAAATATATTTCATATAATTTAGTTGGTTTAGAGAGTTAACCAGAACTATTTGGGGTACCAATCCCCATTGTGCAATTTATTCCAAAAGAATAATCTACAGATGATTGTTTGACTAAATTTTGTCAGATATAGGATAAATATTAATATTTTTGCATTCTTCAGAGTGATACCTAATCAACTGAATTTGATTAAATATTAATTTTACAACAAACAATATAAATATATACACTTTAGTGGATAAATAACTTTTAAAGTTTTGGGTTATCCTCCTATCTCATGTACCAGTCACCAGAATACCCGTCCAGACCCTGCACACATCATCCCTGTCTATCCCCAACCCTGTCCCATGCATCAGTCACTGGATCCCACTCAGAAAACCCGTCAGCTCTCTAACTGAGCCCCATTCCTGTTATGGTCAAATGACCTGTCACATTTCGGACTTTGCTCCGTTCCATTCCTAACACCAAATTTGGTGTTTACTTATCTCATTTCATGATTACTAGTTTGGATTCATTATTACTGGATTCAGTATGACATACATTCCACAGTCTATATAGTCTGGCAGATGTTGTACATACAATCCAGTCAGAAAATCAGCTTAGATTCCCCCCAGTAATCTTAGTACATTTTCTGCTCTATTCCTCTTTGAAACACGCTGCTAATTTCCTCATCAGAGCCCACGGGCTCTGACCTATCTATCACTTGACCTCCGACCCATCACCACCCGATCCATCACCACCCGACCCATCACCACCCGACCCATCACCACCCGACCCATCACCACCCGACCCATCACCACCCGATCCATCACCACCCGACCCATCACCACCCGACCCCTCGACCTCTGTGGGCTTCCCACAGTCGACCCTCTGACCTCTCAACCCACCAACTACTCCCAGACTCCCCAGGATTCCCATCCACCTGTTTGAAATTGGATGCCACAATCTCACGAGGGCACAGCCTATAAGCTGAAGCCAAGACCAGCTTTCCTGCAGGTTTCTCTGGAAACCCTCATATAAGCTCTGCACACACTCCTTAACAAGTACTAAGAAACAATATTAGGTGGCAATAGAGAGTATACATGGAGAGTTGAGTTACATGAGGAGCAGATCTCCTCATTTATTGTTTAGCTCCAGAATTTGAGTGTGGTTGCTACTGCCCTTATGCAGTGAGTGTGTCACTTACCATTGAGGATATTTCTGTGGGACTGGTGGAAGAAGAAAGTCATCTGAAAGGTAGAAAGATGCTGAGAGTCAAATTGCACTGAAAACAAAAATAGACCCATGAAATGAGAAACAGCTGATAAATTGCTATAGATGCAATAATGAAGATCACATTGCATGTTTTTGTCCCACACTGAAGCCAGTCGATGCTTCATCAAGTGGTAAATCCAGAGGCTCTCACTGCTAGAACAGTGGAGAGCATTTTATATTGCACATCTGATTTTGTTGTATGGACTAGGAGTTGTGAGCAGGGCTCTGAGGTCTGCCATTTGTGGTCTGGGAGGTTGGGGGATTGCACTCTAGGAGCAAGGGATGTTATGAGGTTCAATTTGATGCCAATTTGTATTATGGATTTTATGTCTAGTGGGCACAATGGATATATGTTTTATTTTTCAGATGGGTTTTGTGTCAAGTGGGCACATTTCTTTTGTGTTAAAAGTACTGATTTTTCATTTGGTGAGCATGGATCTGTCATATCACCTCAACAATGTGCAAAGTGGGCATGTTGTAATTTATGTTAGAATACAGTATATTCCAAGAAATAATCTCACTTTCTTTAGTTTCAATATTTCCCAACTAAGTAGAAAATTTAATGTTACTGTATAGTTTCTTAGTAACCTAAAATACATTCTTTGTTTGCATCTACCATATTTAACAGGTTATGGGCCCCACAGAATATTCGCATATTGCTTGAATTCATTGATGTGCAACATTTGTTTCCTTTAAGTCATTACTTGTCATAATTTCTTTTAGGCAGCTGTATTAAAGGGCTTAGAAGTTGCAGTACATGCATGGGAAGGGCTCCAGGGTGGTATATTCAACCTGCAGGAAGGGATCTGCAACTATTTGTTTATTTCTTGGGTTCATTATTCATATTTCCACATCAACACTGCCCTACTTACACACAATGGGAAAGGAGAATCATTTTCAAAAACTAAGGGAGGATAACTATAGTACATGGTGCATCTATGTACATGAAAGCATATCTCACTTGCAAAGATGTGTGGAGTATTATTGACAGTTTGGAAATTAAACCACCTGGTTCACCCTCCTTGAAACTGGTTCACATAATTATTAAGAAACAACAACTTTCACAATCTGAAATCATCCTCTGTGTCAAACCAGACCAAATTCCCCACCTTCATGAACATGACCCTGTTACATATATCCTGGGAAAACCTACACCAAGTCCATATTGCCTGCAGATTTGCATCTCATCTTGCTCGTCATCATCCTTTTCTAACCAAGAAGAAAGATGACATGCAGAGTATGCAGCAATGGATTGCTGATATGAAGCATATTTCAAAATGCCTTAGCCACACAACCAGTCCTCCATCAACTGACTGCAATGATATTCTCTGCCACTGGTTTAAAAATTCCAAAGATGAAGACATGATCCTGGTACTTACCAATGACCTTGACGAATCATATGACAAGTTCATTGTCAGTTTGGATTCTATACTACCAGAATAACTCACCCTTGAGTATGTTATTAACTGCTTGCTGAATGAGGAGGCATGCCAACTTGCCTCTCATATTTTATTAACTGCCAGTTATGATACCAGAATTCAGACCCTTTTTGCCACTTGTCACCATATATCTAAGAAACCACCAAATGTCACATGTTTCAACTGTGGTGGATGTGGTCATCATCAAAATGACTGTCTGATCTAATATTATGAAAGGTTCTGGGTAAACCACAGATGTGCCAAGGATGGGGAAACAGCTTATGTGCTATGCCCTTGTGGAAACTGTCAACATCCTAACTTTGGACAGACAATGAGGCAAGCAGAAAGAAATGCATGATATCATTATCCCCTTTGACAACCCCCACCCACACTACCAAGGCCAAGCCCAAACAATGTGCTTCCCAAAGGTATGGAAATTATTTTAAAGGAGAGGGACTTGTGGGATATACAAAGAGACATGAGCACTTTGTCTTCTGGGAAGCTTTATCACCATATTTTCTTGCTACAGTGTTTCACTCCAAGTGCAATGGCTCATTTTCACATGCAAAAAAACTCCTTCCCAAGTGCCTCAATACTTGTTCTGTCGCATAAATCTGCCACTTTTTCAAAAGTACTGGGGTTACATACATGATTGTTTACAGGCATTTAAATGTACTAGACAAGGGCTATCTGGGAAACCAGCTGAGTTTGCAGTCAAAAAATATAAACCCCATCAGAGAATCCCACACTTAGAGACAGTTGAACAATGGGACTCCTCCATGTTTCTATTGCACCAAGCCACTCATAAACTTAAGAAAAACTATAATACAGTTGTGAAATAGTATTCCTGCAATTTACAACTCAAAATCATATTAAAATACATGATATTTACATATATGTTTCAATTTTGGCCAGTGAAATATTAAAAGTTTAATATTTTCCTTAAATTTTCACATCCTTGTGTTCTATACTAGAATTACATTTAATCATGCATTTTTTCTTAAATAATTTGAGAATTGTTATGAAATAAGAACTGTAAATTGCAGAAGCAAACTACAGAAAGTGCCTGGATGAGAAGTCATAATGTGTACCATATTTCCTACCAGGACTACTCTCAATGGCCTGATGGCTCAGGGGTTAAGAGCACTAGGCATGTAATCCAAACATAGTGCTTGCTGGTTCAAATCCAGCTCAGATACTTTTCACCCTAGTTAGGTAATTTAACACATATACCACAGCAGTCAATGCCAGAAGAGAATGTTGACCAGTTTGTTAGAAGGTCAAAGGTATTCATCACTTTCAAGCCTGATCAGCAACATCAAATCTGAGGTCTCATGTTATGAAGTGCTTTGGTGGTGATACTATTGCTTTCAACCAGACATCTTCTACGACCCCCAATAAATTTATCTTCACAATATTTGCTTGTCTTGGTCACAAGGCTGTATCATTTTCACACTGTGCTCACACTTCCAATGAATGAAGGTCTGTGTTGCTCATCTCCCTTATTGATTGTTATAGCACTGATAATAGAGTTGTAGAGTGCACATTGCACATTGCTGGACTGAGAGTGATTAGTTGATGACTATCATCAAAGATTAACAGTTCGAAATTCTTGTAAGTACTTCATTTCCAAGTCCAAGTCCATCTGCCATTGCAGGGGGTGTCAAGCTGGTGTTTAGAGGTACCAAGGAGCAAATTGACACAATTTTGAAGATATGTATTCTCCAGACCATGTCTGATCCTTACATTAAATATATTTATTGAACTTGCTGAGATCAACCGTAAAAGCAGCCTGCAGGCCAAGTCCATATTGCTCCTTTTCGTTGAGCTAATTTTATTAGTACCAACGGCCCAACACCACTAGTATTTCGTGGTCCCATAGCAGTGGGTTACATGGTGTTGAAAACCAACCCAAATAATATAATAACTCAGTATCACATGCCAGGCTGTTGAGTTTGATGCCGCGATAGGTATTATATCAATTCAACGTCCCATATGGTTTCATGATCGTAGGGACTTATCATGCAGAATATGTCCCATCGGCTTTTGTATCTTCCTTTTTTGTTCCCTGTGCTTTCGCTAGTGAGTCGAAGGGAAATCGACCTGCAATTAAACAAAAGCGTTCTCCCACTTAATGTATGGAATATATGTAGTACGATTTGTTTGAATCATAGCAATCAGGATCGTGCATGTGTTTATTTAATTACGTTTAAAGGATATGATCATGGTTTGAGGAGGTCATCTTTCATCAACATTGTAGCCAATTAAAGTCTCTCAGCTCTTTATTCCTTCGAACTTTCATCTTCTACAGCATCGGCGGCGCCATTTTTCTCATCCGTGGCATGTCTAACATGCAGACGGCCGGAAGGTTTCCAATAAACTGAACGCCACGGTGCAATACGAGCACGGTACATTTCATCGACCTGTTAAGTGAATACCACGTTAGGCGACAAGTGTTGGGAAGGTTCAAGAAACACGCCTCCTCCAATGTCAATCCCTTAGTTTCTGGCACGAAAAGGTATACGTAGACATATCCAAAAGTGAGCATCCCAAAAAAGATCAATAATATGAGGGGGCCGATGCTAAATTGAATGGTTAACGGATGCCGTGTGTGGGAAAGGTAAATAAATTACTCGTTCGCAATTCTGGGAGCGAAGAAGGACAGAAGGAAGTTCCAGATCCAATCTAAAAATCGCAGTAAGAACACAGATAAGTTCAACTGGTCTGAATATACGTACTGGTAGCGCTGCCTAACGCAATCGACTATAAAGGAAACATCATCGGCCAACATCGAAAGACATTACTAAGAAACAACCTACCTTAGCCCTCACTCTTAGTGGGAAGCTCTCTCCCAAATACACCCACGGGGTGGGACCCCAAAACATGGAGAACGAAAACACATGTAATACCGCAAAAGCGATGAGGGTATCACCACCTTGCTTATTCCGCCTGGTAAGAAGATCGAGAGCCGTCCCGGCAGGTGCAAGCGTGAAATGTCCGACAAGACCGGCCTAAAATGGTAAAGCGTTAACACGCTTGCAGAAAGTACTGTAGTAGGCAATGGGCGTACGATGAGTGAACAGAGCTAGTCCAAAAAGCGATGCGGATGAATAATGTTAGTCAAGTGAGAAGGCATTCCGAAGAAACATACCCCTTCTAAAACTGATCCGATGAGGAGGGATTGACGCCTGCCAACTGTTTCAATGAGATAGAGAGCCTGTCGCAGAGAATGTGTGGGTTAAGGTTTGGGTAGCCAGGATGTCTGGTTTGATGACTTACGGGAACGGTGCCTATGAGGGAGACGCCGCCCAGGATGGTTTGAATGACATATGGGGACAAACTATAATAATCGTTAAAAGATGATTATTCTGAAAGGTTAAAAACAGGCTTACGTTGTTCCGGCGCTCTTGAAGAATGTATCTCCATAGTAATCTGAGATCCTTATTAAAAGTGTTAAAAAGAGAATAAGGATAATTCTCACAGTAGAAATTTTGTCCGTTAAGTTGCTGGATAAACTGCAACCTAATCAAAAGAACCTACGTAAGCCATAAAGCCACAAAAGATTGTCTGGTAAAAGAGAAAATAAATATTCACATCATTCCATTCCCAGTGCGCTTCCAAAGCTGGTTCCTAGTTGAGAAACATTCAATCCATGTCGCTTTACCGCCCTCATTCTCCTCGCGAATTCCAAGCTGCAATTCCTCTACGATTTCTTGTATGAGAGGGTCGTCTTCAGGTACGCCGTTAAGTTCGGAAAGGGCAGCACGGGCTTCAGTTTCACGACCGAGGTAGAGGAGGTGACGTCTTCATACCCCAATGGCTTACAAACGTTGAAACATTTCAGAAAGAGTGTATATAACGTACGGTGACTCCGGGAGGAACATGATACCTCCGATGAGGATGAGACCCCAGACGAGTTGGAGACCAATCTGGTACACGAGATCACATGTCTGACGATTTGGAGGAATATATTTGATTGATTTGTACTCACTGGAACTTTCCATGATGCTGTGTTTTTAATGTTGTGGGTCGCCAAGTCGAAGATGTAGCTCAGGAAAATACTGGGCGGGGTGTCAATTCTTATGGCAAGAACACTTGGTTAGGTGGGCCTACCCAGTGATGATCTGTAACTGGTACAATACTAGGAGAGCCCCGCGGATCTTTTTGGGTGCAGCTTCTCCGTTGTATAGGGGTACGATTGCTAAAATGCATCAATCGGCACATTCAGCTCCAAACCGCTGCGGAAAGGAGAACATTGTCAAAATCATACCTGATAATGCCCCGACGCCCAAACCAGCTACAAACCGGCTTCAAGCCAGCCGAGGCCAGATTTCAAAAATCATTTTGCGAAAAATTCAAAAATAAAACGGTTTATCACGCACCCAAAAGTGATCTGTGCCACTGAATTCACTGTCCCTGTTTGAATCGCGACCCCGATCGTGAAGATTATCGTCCAGATTAGGATTGACTTCTTGCGACCGAAGCGGTCGGTTGTGAGAGCTTGTGCGAGGGCACCGCTGTAGAATATTCGTACATAAGCATTAACGTGTATAATATTAGAAGATAATCGGAAACCCCACGCACACGAACGTTCTGAATTATATATGATCCGGGATGGCGCGATTAGCTGACGCGAATAAATTCAGAAAAATATTGGTCAACGTAAACGTACCCGGCGGAGAGAAGGGATGTTATAATAGACTGGCGACTAGCGGACAAGGTACGTGTTCCATCAGCATTTTTAATGTCGCCAAATCGATTATTGAAGTCCTCCATAATGAGACATCCCTTTCAATAACAAAGAGACAACGTTACGGCATGGTTCAAAAAGTCATGATCATGCAGCGGATTCCGAGTCGACTTACTGAAATGACACCGATATCGTACTACGTGTAGGCGCCACGGTCCTCGGTGAGTACAAGACTGGCGATACACAGTAAGAAAAATAGACACATACCCCAAAAAGGAACCCTCCGAACGCCACAAAAAAGCAGAAAATAACCGCTTTCTTGTTACTCAGGGTAGCCATAGTAGTAGGTTCAAAAACAGGCTACTTCGTTTGAACTTTAGGATCGTCTTGGGTAGCTCAAGGGAAGTTTCGAAGCCTGACGGAAATCGATAAGTTCCATATATTTAAAGCTTTCATTAGTGGTGGTAATTGGGGTGCGCCCGAGCGCGGACTATGATATCTATTATTGGTTGGAAAAAAGAACACCACTATCAAGTGACTTCTCGAGATGTGGGAGGCTTGACTATTTTCGTTACGGGCCGTTCTTGCGGTCCGCAGCCTAAAGAAGCGAAGCAACCGATCAATTTGCAGAGAAGGTATTTTTGAGGTATTTGAATTACCTTTTGGGTATAAATATGGTGCGAGAAGGCATAGGTTGTTTGAAAACATGAAAAATTGAACGAATGTATATCTAATCAGCACACCATACACCCAAGTCGCCCCCTACGTTGATGAGAAAGAATATCATAAAATGGTAAGCAGCTCTGGGACGCACCGAACCGCATAATATCTTATCCCGGACTTAGTAAATTATTGGCGTGACTTGAATAATATTAGGGATGACGTCAGAGATATTAGACGCCGGTAGCTCTATGTGATTGGCCAAGATCACGGACACCGCTGAACACTTACTTATCCTTTGTTTCCTTCATATCATGGCTTGGACCAACGAAAAGTATTAATCAAGAAAAACTAACTCGTAAGTGCTTGGCTCCCAATTTTTTGGTGTGCTGTTGGATGACGACGATGACCAATAGTCACGACCACAGCTACTCATATCTCACTTGTACAACAACTTCACCACCACCCCACTCCCTGTCCCACCCGACACCCGACAATCGCCGTGTACCCAATATTCAATAAATCCAACATACCATACACGTATATCCCTCCGGCGCATTATAGTCACCGCCTGAACAGGCTAAGGCTATATCGGCTCCCACGTCATCCTTACCCCCTCCTCACCCGTCAGTTTAAAGTCATCTCAATCGACAACCACTAAAATTTCCTCTCACTGGCCCTCTCCCCTGTCGAAAAGGAAAAGATTGCATTGGACACGCTGCCTCCGGCACCAACCAGGAACGAGGGTGGCCTGTGTGGTGTCGTACATATCAGAATGTGTACCCAGTGTGCTTTAAGGTGAAGGTTATTGGGAGGAGGTGAGGTATTTTATTTTTCTTGTTTATTTAT